GTGAGCCAACCCTCACGGCCAAGGCTGTGACAGCCGTCTCCTGCCTGCGTCCCCAGTGAACACTGTGAGCCAACCCTCACGGCCAAGGCTGTAACAGCCGTCTCCTGCCTGTGTCCCCAGTGAACACTGTGAGCCAACCCTCATGGCCAGGCTGTCGCAGCCGACTTACCTTCTTTGTTCTTATAAGCTTGTGATCCCTGAACTCCGTCAGCTGGGCTCGGAGAGTGAGGTCGCTGTTAACAAGGAAGGCCTCACGGCACTGCTGGTAAAAATCCTGAAAAGAAAGTCCTGGGGAGAAGAAAAAGTTAAGTTAATCAATACTTTGTTCGCTTTATTTACTTTTTTAAGACAGGGTCTCCCATGCCAGCTGTGGCACACAGACGCACAGCCAGACAACAGCCCGCGGGATGGAGCCAGCTGCCAAGCACCACGAGCTCGGCCTCTTACACGGGCTTAAGAACACAGCTGTGCAATGCATGGCATCTTAGGGCTTTTGCTCATATAGACAAAAGGGGCAGATATACACAGTAAGGACACCCAGACCAAAAGGCCTCTAAACATGTATGTAAGCTTGGGAGAGGGGGAAAAGGGGTATAAAGTCATAGATTTAAAAAAAATTATTTAAAGATAATAAAACCCTTAAAAATAAAATTATATATATATCACTTAAAGGTGTGAAATACAGGCTGGAGAGATGGCTCAGAGGTTAAGAGCACTGGCTGCTCTTCCAGAGGTCCAGAGGTCCTGGGTTTGAATTCCCAGCAAACCATATGGTAGCTCACAATCATCTGTAATGAGATCTGGTGCCCTCTACTGGCCTGCATGCATGCATGCAGAACACTGTATACATAATAAATAAATAATAAACCTTAAAAAGAAGATGTAAAAATACAGAGTCTGGATTATATATACTATTGTGTTTCTTTTGGATTTTTTTGTCTGTTAATGAGCTAACTGCTGACAGACATTAATTGTAAAAGCTACTAAATTAAACCAATCTATATATTTTAGAAATGTTACTTTGGGAAAGAGAAGTTTTGTTTCCACAGAAAAGGAGAGGCTCTGGATTCATTCTAGGTTAAAAAAAAAAATCAGGTTTGATCGATGAAGACCCCCCTGAAAATCCTGACTACAGACATAGAAAAATAAACCAAAAGTAACTACAGCACACATAATGTATATTTACCTCTGCTCAAACATAAAACAAAAAATTATCTTCTGCTGGCTTGTGTGCAATGCACAGTTTGTATTTGTAATAGTACACATATGTATGTTCCCTTTAAAGTTTTTATATTTACAGAACAAGGGGCTCAGACACCAATAAAAAAGGATGGCCCAGGTGATCCAGCATCCAGAACAGCTTCAAGGCTGCCTAAGATAATCCAGCCTCACAGAATGCTATAGCCAAGACTTAACAATCATCTTTCTTTAATTTTCTCAGGATCCCTCAAAGATCACCAGCACCCATCAGTCAACAGGAAGTAGCCTAGAGAACTATGCCCAAATTCCCAAAATATTGTTTATAAATGTTTATTTCCATCAAAGGTTGGTATTTGTCATAGTCAATCTCTTTCTAAAAGAAGAAAGGGGGGGCTTTGATAAAGAAATGGGCTAAAAGGATAGATTATTGAACTACTTTAATCTAAAAAAAAAAAGACTGTTAATTTCAAAATATTTTACATTGGTCTAAGTTTTGGTTTATTGATATGAAGGTTAATTTTGTTATAGTGTATGCGTATTCCTGCTCTTGTTTAAGGTATTGTGTTTATGCACCTCAATAAAAAATGCAATGTATAATTAAAAAATACTGATTTACAAAAATAGTCAAATATAATATAGTTTTATTTATAAGAGTCAAACTTCTAGTCATGCTAATTAGGTTTTATAGATATACAAAGATATATTTCAGATAAGATAGGTATTCTTCAAACATTTCAAAAACCTACAGAAGATGGCATTTAAAATGTTTTAATAACTTAGAATTTTCATGACAGTGAGACATGTCTGCTCCTGGCAGCTCTATGTACTCCAGAAAAGATAATGGACATCAAAGAAACTCTGTGTGGAGTTCATTTTCTTCATGGCAAAAGCTAGCCACGTGGGCAAAAAAATGGCCCTTGCTTCAATTACTGATAGTTGCTGTCCAAACTGAACCAGCAGGATACAAGAAAGGCAACTGCCAAGCTGTGCCAAGACAAAGTAAGACAACCCCTCAAATTCCCTGCTTCGCAGGAGAGCCTGTCAGATATCCTAGGCCTGCAGGCCAAAGCTGGATGCCCCAGCACCGCAGAGGAACTTAGGGTGACTGTCCAGGCAGCCATCTTGTTCTGTCACTACTTACATGTCTGGAAGTTGCTTGCCTGCACTTCCTGTTTACTCAGGTAATATTATTTCCTTCTTGGGTATTTGGTGGAGTTGAAGACTAGACAGTTATAATTATAGTTCTTCTTAGTTATGATAAAAAGCTAAAATAGAGCCAGGTGGTGGTGGTGCATGCCTTTAATCCTTTAATCCCAGCACTCAGGAGGCAGAGGCAGGCAGATCTCTGTGAGTTCAAGGCCAACCTGGTCTAAAGAGTGAGTTCTAGAACTGGCTACATAGCTACTGAGAAACCCTGTCTCAAAAAACAAAACAAAGAAAAGGTAAATTAGATATAAAACTTTAGACTCACCAACATAGACAACAGGTTATTTTCTCAAATCTTGCCAAATACAAATAGACTGGATATTGTAACTGTAATTCTTACTTGACAATTGTTCTATTATTTGTCATACATAATTTTACTATATTAAAGTTAAAAATCTTCCTTTCTGATTACACAGAAAGGGGGAAATGCTGTGGGATAACTTTCTGTATGCTTTGAACATGTGTTGCTCTCACTGGGTGATAATAAAGCTGAATTGGCCAATGGCCAGGCAGAATACAGCTAGGCGGGAAAGCCAAACAGACATACAGAGAGAAGGGCAGAGAGGGAGCCAGCAGCCAAAGAAACAAAATGCAGACCAGGAAAACCCACAGCCAACATGGCAATACACAGATTAATAGAAATGAGCTAATTTAAATATAAGAGCTATTTAGTAATAACCCTGAGCTATAGGCCATACATTTTGTAATTAAGTTTCTGTGTGATTATTTAAAAGTGTCTGTGAAACCTCCACTTACAGAATAACATGTAACCTTGTGGGCAGCTTTAAGCAGCATAAATAAAACTGACTTTAAAAACAACCTTTTGAATGATTTATTTTTAGTTTATGTGAATTTGTGTTTTGCTCGCGTGCATGTTTATGTGAGAGTGTCAGATTCCCTGGAATTCCAAGGGGACGACAAATAAGATTGCCCATACACAAAATATGTGAAACTGTCATATACACATCCATAGCTCCAGTACTGCATGGATTCAAAAGGGAGGCAATCTACTGAGCAGCAGCATCCGCCATGACGCAGGAAGTAGGGTGCAAGCCTGGACATCCACAGCCACCATAGAGCGGGAACTGCTCTGTGAGAGATGCAAGGCTCCCAAGGGACTCTAGGCCTAGAGGGACAGAACATCACATTCACTATCACCACTATCAGATACCTGTGTAGGAAGGGCTGTCCTGGTTGTCCAGCTGGAACTTTATAAGTAGCCTGAAGATTCCCCTACAAAACCAAAGACAAAAATCTGTATTAGTCAATCTAAGTAAGAATGTCAAATACGCCCCTAGGATCCATTGCCTTTTGTTCTGTTCTCCAGGAAATCATGATTTATCCTCACAGGAAAGAGCTTTTCTAATCTAGGAAAGTGTGCTCAGGAATACATGCATGTGCACGTGAGCGCGCTCTCTCTCTCTCTCTCTCTCTCTCTCTCTCTCTCTCTCAGTGTGCTCAGGAATACATGCATGTGCACGTGAGCTCTCTCTCTCTCTCTCTCTCTCTCTCTCTCCCTCTCTCTCTCTAGTAAAACCTGAGGAGGCTGACTGATACTTCTGTCATCTCAGGTGCTCAGAAGACGGAACAGGATGGCTGGTGCACAGTGCCAGCCTCTATCCTACGCTGGGTAAGGAGGCAAAGGCCCTTAATCCCAGAACTCAGCAAGCATAAATAAGCAAGTAAATCGCTGGCTTTTTCCCAGGAAAACTGGTCCCTATAAGAGGGTCCAGGGTGGCACAGACTACACAGGGAGACTTTACCTCAAAAGCAACGAAACAGACTAAGAACCAGACCAAGAGCCTCAGGTGGGGCAACAGCAGCACCCACCTCCCACACAGAAGAAAACAAGCACTCCAAGTTTCCTCTGTGTTCACAGCTCAGACATTTCTGTTCAGAGACAAAAAGGCTGCCTACACGTACGTGCACCATGTGCACGCTTGTCGGCTCCCCTGGAGCTGAGGTTACATCAAGTTAAGAGTCACCATAAGGATCCTAGGAATTGAAATCCAAGCATGCTTGACGTAAACTCCAAGCGAGTCATCTCCCCAGCCTCTAACAATTTGTTGAGGAGAAACTATTTTAACTTTATTGGTCAGTTTCATGGGATAATACTGAATACTTCACCTATTGTGCAATCCAGTCTCGGTCACTAATTTTATTCTTCTTCTTAATCCTTTATAGCAAGCAGGTGGTTTTGTTTCTGCCCACTGCTAACAATCAACGTGACACAGCTGAGAGTCCTCTGACAAGGGGCTCCTAACTGAGGAAATCATTAGCTCACCTTGGCACACAGGAATGTCCGTGGGGCAACTGTCTTCACTGCTAACTGATGTAGGGGGGCCAAGACCAGTGTGGGTGGCACCAACTCAGGCAGGTGGAGGTGGGTTATAACAAACCTAAGCGTGAACCTGTGAGTTCCTGCTTGAATTCTTTCCCTGACTTTCTTTAATGACAACTGTAAGCCAAATAAACGTGTGTTTCCCCCAAGCTGCTTTAGATTATGTTGTTTACCACAGCCTCAGTATCACGACAGACTTAGTTGTCCAGCCTCGGGTGTACAAAACTTGGTTTGTTTTTTCGAAGAGCTAGGACTGGATAGACGGCTTTGTATGTGTGAGATAAGTCTGTACCACTCATCGTCACTGCTAGTCCTCCAACGTACAGGTTATTTGTTTTCGTAGTGGAGCTGACAGTTGAATTCAGGAGATTTAGCACACTAAGCAAGTGCCTGACCACTGAGCTGCACCTCTGGTCCTAACTATGTATAGACGGGTATGTATCTTTATATATAACTATGTATAGGTGGGTATGTATCTT